TCATCTCTGTTTCTTGAGTCCTCGAATTAAGCCGCCGCCTTGTTGCCCACACACGAATCCTATTCATTTAGGCCTAATGCCTAATAACAATTTCATTTACATTTTCGGCGAATTTCGCATCGGTTTTTGGCCCAAGCGGCGTATGCGCAATGTCCCCCAGCCGAAAGGTATTTTATTTAATTTACTTTCTTTTCCTTTTCTACCATCCATTGTTCTGCGACCTGTAAAGGGGTTTACTTAAATCTTATGATTTTTCCGGGCTTCCCTACTCACAGCCTCCAATTTGAATCCCATTCAATTAATTGACACATTTTTTGTTCGCTTTCGTTTTGGGATTTTCCCCGCCCACTGGCCACGCCCCCCCCGGGGGATATGCCCGCTTTGTCCCAACGCCCACACAATTTCCGGTACGCTTCGCAACACTGCAACGTAATTATAATGCACAAAGGCTAATTAAAGGGCGAACGGGGAATAAAGGCGAACAATGTATTGGGCTTCGGATTTGCGTTAAAAATACAAGGTAACAATGCCGCATTTGTTTTTCCTCTTTTTTTGATACACTGTAGGTACTTTAATTACCAATAGGGGCTGTCAAGTGCATTTTGTGCCACAAAATTGCACGTTTTTATCGGGATTTTCCAGCAGTTTCAATGTTTTCCTTAATGAGAAACCACTTTTACGGGATTACTTTTTTAGGCCTTTCCCTGATTCCAATACATAGTTAATATTAAATTATATAATATTCATTTGTACATTAAATGCTAGGACTTATTATTTATTTAAATATTTTTAACCTCTTTTATGTTTCTGGATTGTCAAATTGATCGATTACTTAATTTCAGAAACCAGGCGAACATAAACGTTTAGCAGGTGCAGAAACGATCAGCTGATCAGTTTAATCAGAGCTCACTTGGAGATGACCTAGTGAATGCTTCCTTTTGTCACGGCCTAAGCAAATACATAGGACTTAACTGTTATTTCGTTCATATCGTGACAAGTTCGTGACAAGCTCGTGACAAGCTTGTGATCCGGCCATGGTTGCTCATCTCTAGTCTGCGTTTAGCTCACAAGTAACGGTTCTTTCCCATGGAGATCAATTCCTATTGGTCAGTTGGGGAAGGGGAAATACGTAAAGGGCCGCCATCTTGAAAATTAACAGCTGTTTACGATCACTTTTAGCTACCAGTTGTCACTTGCTAAGTTTTCTGTTTGCCTGGTGTCTGGAGACCAAGAAACTACATTTCAGACCTCATTGAAATGTCAATAATAGAAATCAGAAGTCCAAAATACCTTATTTGCTCGTCGAGAAAATGGTCAGATTTCTTGATTTCTTAATTTCAGACACCAGGCGAACATAAACGTTTAGTAGGTGTAAAACGATCAGCTGATTAGCTTAATCCAAGCTTACTTAGAGATGCCCCCGTGATTTCTTCCTTTTGGCACGGCCTGAGCAAATACATAGGACTTAACTGTTACTTCCTGCATATCGTGACAAGATCGCGACAAGCTCGTGACAAGCTGGTGACACGGCCATGGTTGCTCATCTCTGGTCTGCGTTTGTCTCACAACTTACGGTCCTTTCCAATGGAGATCAATTCCTATTGGTCAGTTGGGGGAGGGGAAATATGTAAAGGGCCGCCATCTTGAAAATCAACAGTTATTTAAGTTACTTGCTAAAAGTACCAGTTGTCACTTGCTAAGTTTTCTGTTTGCCTGGTGTCTGAGAGCCATAAGCCCAGCACTTAGACTAAAAAAATGTTACAAAGCCTTTCAATATGTTAAAGTAAATTAGCGATTTTGCGATTTCAAACACCAGGTGAACAGGAAAATTCGTAGGTGGCCAACGATTAGTTTTTAAGGCTTTACTAGAGGTGTGCAGCTTCAAAATATGTAAGGCATTTGTTGCCGATCAAGCGATTGCGCATCTCTAGTCTGCTTATGCAAAACTAACGGTGTCCTTCCAATAAAAAAATGTTAACTGCCAGCAGTCACTTACTACGGACTATGTTGGCCTGGTGTCAAAGATCAAGAAATAAATTTCAGACCTCATTGAAATGTCAATAAATAGAAATCATAAAACCAAAATATCTTATTTGCTCGTCGTGAAAATAGTCAAATTTCTTGATTTCTTAATTTCAGACACCAGGCGAACATAAACGATTAGTAGGTGTAAAACGATCAGCTGATTAGCTTAATTCAAGCTTACTTAGAGATGCTCCCGTGATTTCTTTCTTTTGGCACGGCCTAAGCATATCCATAGGACTAAACTGTTACTTCGAGCATAACGTGACAAGCTCGTGACAAGATCGCGACAAGCTCGTGACACCGCCATGGTTGCTCATCTCTGGTCTGCGTTTGGCTCACAAGGAACGGTTCTTTCCCGTGGAGATCAATTCCTATTGGTCAGTTGGGGGAGGGGAAATATGTAAAGGGCCGCCATCTTGAAAATTAACAGCTGTTTAAGATCACTTTTAGCTACCAGCTGTCACTTGCTATGATTTCTGTTTGCCTGGTGTCTGACTGAAAAAATGTTACGAAGCCCTTCATTTTTTTGACGAAAAAAAGCTTATTTTAAGCCGTTTTTAATTTGTAATTTAGTCAAATATAGGCGCACAACAAAAAGACCGACAGTTTTGGGCAGCTTACAATCTAGGCTAACGATCCTTATCACTTTTAAGGAAATTTATTTTTGGACCAATTTTCGCATTTTTTATAAGGGGTAACATCATCCATTTTCGCGAAAAGTGGTCAAAAATTTAGGTTTTTAGATTTAAATGCCAATCGATTGGGAATTTAAATACGAGTTCAACGAGGTATGACATTCCTGATTCCGACTTTAATTCGCAAAATGATTGCCAAAAAACCTAGTTTGTTTGGGTCAAAAAATAGGTTGAACGGTTTCAGACAAAAATTCCATTATTTTTTGCAGTTTTTTAGCCGTATCTTGGTCAAAACTAGGCGCACAGCTGAAAGACCAACTGTTTTGAGCAGCTAACAACCTAGGCTTCCCATCCCCGTCACATTCCGGGAAATTTATTTTTTGACCCGATTTCACATTTTTTATATGGGGTAACATCGTCTATTTTTGCGAAAATCGGTCAAAAATTAAAGTTTTCGTGCTTGAATGCCAATCGATTGGGAATTTAATTACGAGCTCAACGAGGTATGACATTCCCGATTCCGACTTTAATTCGCAAAATGATTGCCAAAAAACCTAGTTTGTTTGGGTCAAAAAATAGGTAGAACGGTTTCAGACAAAAATTCCATAATTTTTTGCAGTTTTTCAGTCGTAACTTGGTCAGAACAAGGCGCACAGCTGAAAGATTAACTGTTTTGAGCAGCTTACAATCTAGGCTAACGATCCTTATCACTTTTAGGGAAATTTATTTTTGGACCAATTTTCGCATTTTTTATTCGTCTATTTTTGCAAAAAGTGGCCAAAAATTAAAGTTTAAAGTTTGAAATGCCAATCGATTGGGAATTTAATTACGAGCTCAACGAGGCATTTCGTAAAATGATTGCCAAAATACCTAGATACTTTTAAATGCAATTGGTGTCAAAAGTATGCAGTACATAAAGGGTAGTCATCTTTCTCAATGAAGTCATTGTACTGCTGAGCTTAAATTATTGTTGCATACTTTTAGAAACCTATAAATGACATTTTAAAGTGGCTTCAAAACTCCCAGACTATGTAAAGCACTGCAAATAGTACTTTGGGTCTAGTTTCTTTTTAAGATATTTCCACCAATCAGGATAGTACATTTTAAGATTGGAGATTTGCAAGCAACAACTAATTTTCAACCTTTCTCTGGCGATATAATTAGTGTAAACATTGCTTTTAATTGATGTAGCAATTATTTAAACATCACTGCCATGTCGCGGGCAGCTTAATGAACTGAAAACAATTGTAAACGCCTGTACTTATTTAATTAAAAACAAAAAACCGAAAGGGATTATGTTAACCAAAGCAAAACAAGTTGATTTAAGCTGATTATCCTTGCCTCTCCTGTCATTTCAATGCAAGTACGAGTATTATTAACATGCAAAGCCACAATTCATAACTACCGGCCGAGCCATGGACATTTCGATAATCCCGCTGAGCTTTATGGAGCGACAAATTGATTCTGGGTTTATCTGACACTTTTCAATGTTTTTCGCTATTTGCCCGTCTTTCGATCCGAGTTTACACAAACGCCTCCGTTTGGACAAGCCGGCAATCAAAGTAAACAAAAGTCGGGCCGCAAAAATCAAGGCCAGCTGCGGCGAAACTTTTGCAGTTGATTTAAATTTTGCTAACCGAATTTGATTGCTGAAAAGTTGCCGCCTGTGCACAGTGACCGCAAAATGTCAACAGCACTTCTCCGCTTTTAAGCTGCACTCAAACAAACTCAAATGGAAATGCGAGGAAAATGATTTAAAATGCAGGAAGATATTTTATAATCCCCGAAGAAACAAAGATGGAAATGTGGGGAGTGCGAGAAAAATAATGTGGTGTGCATTTAATAATCTCTAAAAAATCAAATGTTTTACGGTTGATCCTTAAACACTTGTTAAAGTTTGTATATTTGTCACAATATTTTATTTATGTATTTTTAGTGAGAGAACACTAACAGTGAATATTTTTAAAATTTCTTTTTCAATTTCCATTAACCATACTATTTGACAATAACAGATACTAAATATGTTTTTTCTTAGGGCTAAAAAATATATTTGGTAAATAATATTACAATTATTTATATTATTTATGGTAAATAAATACAAATATTTTAAATTACATTTCTAGTAGGTTTTATTATATATGTAATGTGGGCTCCTCTATATAGACTTTGCTATAAATACACTACAAATTCAGTAATACATGTTCTTATATTATAAATATAAATATTTATAAATGCTTTTCAAGTAAGTTTTTTATCATATCTCGTGGGTTACTTTAAGCAGGCTTTGTAAACACCAAATATAAGAAATCTAACCCATTATTTGACTCCCGATCATTGCAGAACCATGCGTCGCTCCTCGTTCACGCCCGTCTTCAACCTGAGCACCCAGGAGCCGCTGATCGTGGTGGAGGAGTCGCACACCGCCGAGGATGGCGACGACCTTGAGGGGGCGGCCGGCGGGTGCGACCCGAACGCCTCCGGCACCCGGCGCTCCAATAGCGACGACTCCGAGCCGGACTCGCCGGTGAACCCCTACCTGCTCTGCCCCTTCCCCGACATGCAGCAGCGGCGCAAGCACTCGCTGCCCTCGCTCCAGATCACCGAGGGCATCACCGCCAGCCAGGTGCGCCGCCTGTCGGAGGTGGGCGGCGAGACCGGCGGGCTGAGTCCCAAGGAGGTCGAGTTCCTGGCCACGCTCTCCCAGAAGGCCAATCCCTCGGCCGGCGGACGCCGCCACTCGGTGGTGACCATCTCGGCGGTGCCGCCAACGCTCTTCGGACGCAACCGTCGCGAGTCCATTTCCGGTGTATCCTTCAGGTGAGACGGCCATTCGCCCCGATTCGCCATTCCCCATTTGCCATTCCCCGTTTGCCATTCCCCGTTTGCCATTCCCCATTTGCCATTCCCCATTAGCCATTAGTCGGCGGAAGTGGGAAGGTTCCGCGCAGCGGGACACACGACCGCAGGACCTTTGTTAATCACTACACTTAAAAAAATAACTAGTTATAGGACTTTTAAAATTAAACGAATTTCTGAAAAAAACAAATACACTTTTATTTATAAAGTACCCTCTGTGTTTACAACTTACCTCTCATTAAAAAAAAATTGATAACCTAATTTAAAAAAAAAATATATATAATATAATAATCTAATCATTTTTGAATTTCTTAAAAATAACAAAAAATGTACATTAAAAAAACTTTTAGTGCTTGTCCCCACAAGAAGTTTTTATCATATTACACTTATTATTATTATTAATTACAGAGTAATGAGTTATCTTATTACCTACAAAACGGATTTGCTTTCTCTCTTGTTTATTATATCTATTAAAATAAATACTAAGGGGCGTTAACTAGTACGTTATTCAGTATACATATTTTATTGTTTGGGAGTCCTTAAAGTTTCAGAGGGTCATTTCTCTCTGTGCACATATCCCCCTGGCTGGATAGCTCCTGCCCTTGTCCTATCTGCTACTCTATGTACCGCGCCTAATTGAATCGCCCCGCCGGCTGTTTTCAAGCTTTTGTGCTGTGACAGCAACATTTTGATATCCTAATAGGCGAGGGGCGGGTGGGAAGTGGGCGTGGCCAGGGCGGGAATGACCAGGGGCGTAATGAGATTGTCATAAACTGCGACCGGTCATTGCCATATGATGAGGCCGGATAATGAGTCCAGCAATCAATGGGAATGCAATAAAATCTGAGGCATGTAGAAAAGTTTGTGGCGCACTTTTTGGGACTTAATCAAAGAAAATTTTATTAGGTATATATTTATTAAATACAATCTGAAGTGTAAGAGCTTTATGCTAAAGATTTGGGGAAGATAGGCTGTACTACTTTTTTAGAAAAAACTATTAAAAGATAAGTGAGGAATGAAATGTTTTTAAAATATTACAATATTAACATACTAGGTTTAAAGGATTTTATAAAATACTCCAAGTTATATATATATATATATATATATCCAGATAAATTTCATTTTGTATCTTTTATTTTCCGTATTTTCTTACCATTTAGTGCCATTATGGTCCGATTTTCCAGCCGAAAACCTAGTGCCATTCCACCATTTCAATTGCATTTCATCCAGCTTGGCAGGCCAACTCCATGGGCCAATTTCCCCGTGTGGCAGCGCACTTTACGAGCCCAAGTCGGCGGCTGGAGATGAGCGGCCTCGGGGGCGGGACATCGGGGTGTATAATTTATGCTCAAGTGATAACCGCAGACCCATCAACCACTTACTATCGCTGCACATGGATGTGGGGATTGGCCAGGCAGTAAAGTACAAATTGGAACAGCCCTGGCTGAAATGTCAAATGGCTTCGCGTTCTTTTTGTTGCTGTCTAGGCACCTAAAGAAAATAGGAATTAACTAACAAATCATTTCAAAAAAGTTGTTTAAGGTTGTGTATGCCTGTTATGATCATTTAAATTTAAATTTTTGGATGGGAGCACGTCAATGATTGCAAAAAAAAACCTTTGGACAAAAATACTTAATTTTTTTGTCGTTTTTTAGTCGTAATTTGGGCACAGCTAAAAAAAATATATATATACATATTTTTATGAGATTTTTCAATCGTAACTTGGTCAAATCGAGGCGCTCAGCTGAAAGACCGACTGTTTTGAGCAGCTCACAACCTAGGCTTCCGATCTCCATAACATTCTGGGAAATGTATTTTTTGACCCAATTTCACATTTTTCATAAGGGTTAACTTAGTCTATTTTTGCGAAAATCGGTCAAAAAATTAAGTTTCCGGGTTTGAATGCCAATCGATTGGGAATTTATTTACGAGCTCAACGAGGTATGACATTCCATATTCCGACTTTATTTCGCAAAATGATTGCCAAAAAACTTAGTTTGTTTGGGTCAAAAAATAGGTAAAACGATTTCAATTTATTTTATATTATTTTGTAATTATGATTTTGTCTCTCTTTGGTAGAGTTGGTAAAATGATCGATAGCACTATCAATACTATCGAAGGTTTTTAAATTGGGGAAACATCGATGGTATCGTTCAGCAGAATAGTTAATTCTTTCGTACGATTTTTGGTATTTTTGTGCAAAAACAAACAAGCGGTAGTATCGATAGTAGTGGCAACTTCGACAAAACTATCGCCGGAGCCGGCTATCGATGTTTTACCAGCTCTAACTCCCAGCGTTCTGCTGTGCATTGCGACTTTGCCCGCCTCAAAGTACATGCCGTCTCCGCCTTGCAACTTGTGCTTCCCTTAAATGGAAAATATTATTTTAAGTAGTTGTCCCCAAGGAGAAAAAGGCCTCTTTGAGGTCAATTTTCCTATTTGAATATACCTTACAAGTGTCTCGGATTGGTTTGGGACACTTCCTCCGGAGAATTGCCAGAAGTCTTTGGGTCCGGTTCTGTCACTTTGAACCAGTTTAACTTGGCCACGACAGTTTGGGCCAAATATTTTCACTCTGTTTAAGTTTAAAAATTTAAATTTGTGGTGCAGTTGCGCTGTGACTGGCACTTCTCAGACTCCAATTTAACCAGGACCTGTTGATAGGAGAAGAAATCTTTACACAAGAGCTTTATTACTCTATTTCAGTTTGAGCAGGCCACGGAATATTTATTTGGAAATACCTTCGCCCTTAAATGCTTTTAGAGGCTGGATGGAAGAAATATTGTGTAGAAAGATAGCGGGCATTTTTTCCCGGCCTTTGTCCTGGTTCCGCTGGCTGGCTATATAATATTCCATTGGCCTCATTTTGATCTGATATCGGGCCTTGGAGGAGCGATCAGCCAGTTATCGGTTACATTTGCGTGAAGCATTTCTTCGATTCGCGTGCTCCTTCGTTTCTGACTAAAAAAGCAGAGCATTACTTTATACTAATTAATCACTCAATTTAACAATGTAATTAATAAAAAGTCTGCTAGCTGCTATGGGTTTAAGAATGCTTTCCAAATAGCTTAGAAAAAATGGGCTTTTGAGGATCATCACAGGGCTAACGGAAAAAAGCATACTATAACAAACTATAGTAAACTAACCATTTAAAAATAAATATAGCGTTTTTCACTTCAAACGTTTGAAAAATATGGGTTACTTTTGCGTGAAGCATTTCTTGGATTCGCGCGCTCCTTCTTTTCTGACTAAAAAAGCAGGGCATTACTTTATACTAATAAATCACGCAATTTAACAATGTAATTTATCAAAAGTCTAAATGTAAAAATGTACATTGTAATATAAGAAACATAGCTTAAGGCCACAATAGCTATAGCTGCAATAAAAAGCATAGGTTATAGGCAATTTCTCAATTGCCTTTTAACCTGAGAATAAATAAATAAATAAAAAATTTATCAAAAGTCTGCTAGCTGCTATGGGTTTGTCTAGGATGCTTTCCAGATAGCTTCGAAAAAATGGGCTTTTGAGGAGCATCACAGGGCTAACGGAAAAAAGCATACTATAACAAACTATAGTAAATAAAAATAAATATAGCGTTTTTCACTTCAAACGTTTGAAAAATATGGGTTACTTTTGCGTGAAGCATTTCTTCGATTCGCGCGCTCCTTCGTTTCTGACTAAAAAAGCAGGGCATTACTTTATACTAATAAATCACGCAATTTGACAATGTAATTTATCAAAAGTCTGCTAGCTGCTATTGTCTAGAATGCTTTCCAAATAGTTTCGAAAAAATGGGCTTTTGAGGAGCATCACAGGGCTAACGGAAAAAAGCATACTATAACAAACTATAGTAAACTAAACATCTAAAAATAAATATAGCGTTTTTCACTTCAAACGTTTGAAAAATATGGGAAAAAAAATGATTTTTAAAATTGATATTATATTTAAAACATTGTCCATCATATCTCAAATTGGTTCTGTTTCGCAAAAGGATTTCACAATGCTAGCGATGGAAGTCGCGCCAATTTATGTGTGAACTTTTGAGAAACATTTTTCGATATAAATAAATATTGACACTTTATCGATGCCACTACTGACCTTCATTTTTAATATTTCAACCGTCAAACTCAATAAAAACCAATTCTAAAACTGAGTACAAAAATAAATAAATATTTCTTTATAGTTAGTTTATATTTTTATCTATAATTATATATCTTTTTTCTTTTATTAATAGTTTTTTTTCATGTTTTGAAATAGTTTCTAAAAGTTGATGTGGCACCTTGCATGCCCAAAAAATAGATCGTCAGTTACAAGTATGTGCTGTGTTAACTTGTCAAAGCTTTCCAATTATTATCATGCACATGGTCCCTCCTAATAATCTACCTTATATCACATCCGTTGTATCCACTAACATTTCCGGAACAATAGTTAAACCAATTTAGAGATGAATAACATGATAAAGCTATGGAAAACCGATTAAAGGGAAGCAAATTTTGTGTATACTAAAGGTTCTTTTAATTTAATTAAGTTTGTAACGAATATTAAATAAGTTATATGAGAATTTTGTCTGATTATATAATACTAATCTTTGCTTTGTTTTTCTTTGTTCTTTGTTTTCAAAATATTTGTTTAAACTTACATGTTGGAAATAACTAAGAACTGTGCATGAAAAACGTATGATACATTTATTTTTGAGTATTATTAAGTGTGCATATAATTTGTGAAAGCCGTGAAATTTTCAGTCATTTATTAAGCAAACAAACAATTTGAGCAGTTAACAACCCAGGCTTCCGATCCCCATCACATTCCGGGAAATTTATTTTTTGACCAAAATTCATATTTATCATAAGGTCTATTTTTGCGAAAATAGGTCAAAAATTAAAGTTTACCGATTTTAATGCCAATCGATTGCGAATTTAATAACGAGCTCAACGAGGTATGACATTCCCGATTCCGACTTTATTTCGCAAAATGGTTACCAAAAAACATAGTTTGTTTAGTCGAAAAAATTGTTAGAAAGATTTCAGACAAAAATACCATTATTTTATGCAGTTTTTCGATCGTAACTTGGTCATCGAGGCGTACAGCTGAAAGACAATCTGTTTTGAGCAGCTAACAACCTAGGCTTCCGATCCCGATCACTTTTCGGGAAACTTATTTTTTGACCAATTTTCGTGAAAATCGGTTGGAAATTAAATTACAAGCTCTGTTTTGCAAAATGATTGCCATATTCCCTAGTCTCTTATAACTTGTAAGTGAATGGTGCGATTTTTTTTATTGAAAAATGAGAACAAATCAAATATTACTCATTATTTATACGTTTATTTCAAGTAACTACCATTTCTAATTTGAAACTTGCACATTTTTTGCAGTGGCAGTCGCCGGGGCAGCGTGATCGCCGGACCGCCGCTGACCGACCACCGCGGCAGCGTGCACAACTTGCAGCTGGACATCATGGACGGCATCGTGCAGCAGCGGAAGACGCGCAGCGGCAGCGGCGTTTGGACAGCGCCCGTTCTGCAGGAGGCGGACAGCAATGTGCCCGTGCAGACATAAGCGGCGCAAGGACACGCAGGACAGGGGGGATGGATGGAGGGCTGGATGGCGGGATGGATTTATGGAATTTCTGGAATTCCTGGCATGAGAGCAGGCAGATGGCTGGATGGATCGACAGATGTGCGATGGATTGGGTGGACGTGGACACTGGGCAATGCAAACAAATGCCCGGATACTCCGCCACTCGAACTGCAACTGGACCTTTATTAACATTCCGTGTATTTACCACCCCACCCCCTTATCCCAGCCTCCCCTTCCCTACGATTTTCCGCCGGGAAATTGCTTTTCGCGGCTGCCGCATAAAGCAAACAAACCAACCACAAAACCGCACGAAAAACAGAAAAAAAGAGGAAAAATTCACACGAAAAATGTCAGAGAATGCTGGGCGGGGTGCAGAAACAGTACAGAAAAAATAAACAAAAAATTACAAAAAAAAAAGAAAATATAAAACTTCGAAAATGAAAAACTGCAGTTAAACAAAAGAGCGGGATGGCGAGCCGAGTTTAAGATGAAAAGAATTGGTAGAACTAAAAAAATAGAGTTGGAAAAGCGGAAAAATAAAAGGAAAAGCAACAGAAAAACGCAACGCGACCGTTTTGATTGCCAGCAATTTCGGTTAACACCTGTGCCATGTGCCACGCCCACAAATGTCGCCAGTAAGCCCACCCACGCCCACGCCCACAATAACGACTTAAAAATTGCCACCCCTCGTGCAAGGATAATTGCAAATAATATTTAATTGGAGTGTTCAAGAAGAAGGACAATGAAAAACAGAAAGATAGCGCAACACTCGAAACCCTTCTCCGAAAAAGAGAAACAATTCCCGAATGGTCAAAAAAGGAACACTTAACCAAAGTAAGTGGTGTTTCGGGGAACCCTGAACCCCTATCTCGTTTTCAATTCCTTAGCTATTTTTTTATGATTTGAGTAGGGAAAATAGCAATTTAATAATTTACACTTGGTCATTGAGAAAAAATATTTTTGCAGTTATTTTTCTAATTATTGAAAATGGTATAAATGTATATTAATATCTCACCTTTTTGATCTTTGTTTTATTTTTAAGTCCTTTAAATAATTAACAAGCTATTACTTCAGGAATTTTTTCTTAATAAATTGAAATAAAATTAATATCCATTTATTATTATTATTTAAAATGTTTGTCACTTATTTTATTTTTGTAACTTATTTTACTTTTCATTTTAAATAAGAAAACTAATAAAAAAAAACCTTTACTTATTTTTAAAAACTTTATTGGCTTATGGATACAAGCAATTTTTTTTTTGCTATTGGTCAGTTGTATAGGTGCAAATTTAAATTTAAAAATTAAAAATTAAAAAGAGCTGCGTTGGCTTATTTATAAATTTACAGCGATTTTGTTCAAATGGAGAGTTGGTAAAAATGAAGCTTAAATCGCTTAAGCCACAATTTCTGCCCATGTTTTTATATAATTTATTTGGAAACCCCTTTGAAGGGGGGGTCTGTTAATTGCAGGTGTTTGAAGTGCCCCAGAGTGAAACCCAAGTTCTGCCATATTTTCCAGTACATTTTTTGTACTTCTTGCATTTTATTTTTGACATTTGTCAATGGGCTGTGTGCATTTTAAATACTCCCAGTGCCGGGCAGCTAAACATAAACATGAAAAACACGCAGCACAAACATGCATAATGAAAGGCAGCTCGGGCCCAAGGACGCGAAGAGGGTTGGGGGGTGGTTGGGCGAAATGGGGGCCAAGGACGAGGCAAGGTTGCCGCAGCAAACAGCATCCATCCCCCCCCCACCACCCCTGCGGCCAACGTGGCGTGTGAGTAATATTCTGCTGCAACAGCTGCATCAATGCCAATGACAATGCCAATGCCATGACCAAGGAGATGGCTCGTGTTTTTAATGGCTTGTCCACTGGCCAGTGGCCACCCCAATCCACCCCAATCCCACCCAGCTGGCCACGCCCACTTGCCCCCTCAATAAGGCTAATTTAATGTGGGCGTTGGCCGACGGGCGGTGGGCGGTGGGCGGTGGGCGGTGGGCGCTGTCTCTTAATTGAAACGCGTGTTAGTTTGCATTCCATTTTTCATTTCCGTTTCCGTTTCCACAGAATCCACTCGGCCGGCGCCCGGAAACTAATTATAGAAAATCAAAATGCAATTGGCAATGGCAACTGAACTGCGTTTAGCCCACGGCCGACTGCCGGCGGCCATTTGGTTGGCAAAAGTGGGCAAACATCAGTTTGTCCTCGCTAAGCACCATAATCATGTAGGGCAAAATTAATGGCCTGGAATTACCAAGTGTCCTTTTGAGCGGAGTGAGCACAGTTTCTGACAGATCAAGCGATTAATGGCTTCCAAGAGCTTGGATTCAGCAATTAAGTAACTTAATTCATAATATATGACTGTAACAAAATTGAAGTGAACTTAAAATATTAAGTTTGGATTTTTAAACGTACTCACTTAGAAAATGCTCAGAAGATTTTGATTTTGCTTATTTTATATCTCTCTAAGCTTTAACCAAAAGAAATAACACTTAAATATGACTGTAATAAGACTTTTAATTTTTATATTATCTATCTCCCCTAGCTTTTACCGAAAATAAATAGCAATATTAATAAATACCTTTCGCTCTTCCCCCAGGTTCCATCATCAATCGATTTTAAAGCAAAATACCACTCTATGTAATCACTTTATAAAAATAATACATGAAATTAAATCAATATATTGTATATTCAGGAATTGATAAATTAGTGAATAACTAGCGCAAAAACGAAGAAAAACGGAAAAGCGACTTAAAAATAACTATTTACTTAGGTCCTAGTTGCTCCTCATTTTTGGATGTCGTGTAGATTTGTGAACCAACCACCGCATGGAAGAAGAAACCACCAATGAAGACACTAAGATACAAAACCCACAGACTATTTATCTATAGAACAGAAGAATCCAACTCGATTAAAATGTGGAAATCCTCAGGTGCTTTCGATCTAGCTTGTTTTGCATTTTTCATTTTCAATTTAACACTTACCATTTGCAAATTCCATCCCAGACGGATTCAATCAATCAGTGCAATCAAAATCCAAGAGAGTTGACAAATGTACCATGTACCTAAAGTAAAAAGTGAAACCCAACATTAAACTTTAAAGTGGAGAGCTAAATAAAAAATGAAAACAAAATCCCTAGGCTAAGAGTGAACGATTTATCGCCCATCAGCCATAAAACAAAGTGGAAAATCAACTATTTTTGAACTGGGCTTGCTGCTTGCCCAGCCCAGCAGGTCAGCCAGCCTTTAGTTCGAGTAGCCATCCCCGAAATCCGAAATCCGAAATCCGAAGCCCCAATTAAAATAATATACATGCGTAACTGCAAATTGTGAGAAATTGAGGATTTCATCAATTTTATTTCGGGTTTGTGGGGGTAACGGGGTATTTAGAGGACATATTTAGGGGATTTGAAATCACTGAAAGGGCGTCTTAATATTTTCAACATTATGTCATTCTTTTATTTACCAGTTAAATATTTCCCTCGATATATTTATTATTAATAATAATTTAATTTAATATTTTATCAATAAACATTTAATTTGTTAGTAATAAATCGGTATTTAATTAAAATTAATACAGAAGAAATCTACTTTTTAAGGAAAGCTCATAGGAAAAGTGTTTTGAGTTGCTTTAAATACGGAATTAAATTATAACATTTTAAGACCATCTTTTTTAGTGACTTCAAAAGCCCTAGATAATCTTTGAAATATTGCCCTGCCTAAGTAAAAGTTACCCGAAACCAAGAATGGAAATTGAAATTGAAGAGATCAGCATGCTCTCGAGTCGACGGAGTTTTCTTTTATATAAGTCTCGATGTTGTTATTGCTTATAGAGTATACACATAAACATAGGCTATAACCTCGTCATCATAATAATATTTAGAATGTACATAACAAAATACTGGTACTATTTTATCTTCGTGTTCGAGATTGCGCCTTCTTAGCACTCCAAAAAAATTAATGAAAACTCCCAATATTACAGAAAACAGAAGAGAACATTGAAAAAAACACCTTAAAAGAAAAACCCCCTTCCTCTATTTTGACCTGAGAAAATGTCGCTGGACGACGAAGGAAAAATATAAGGAGACGTGTGTAAAACAAAACTAGACAATTTTTTTATTATTAAACATAGTCAAGGATAATCAACTCGAGACGATGGGAAATTGGGCCGCAGTTGGCGAAAATGATTATGAGAAACCAAGGATGTAAGAGATATATTTATAGAAATGAACTATATGTATACATACGGACAGATTGATTATATGATTATATAGTAACTTATTGTCACAACGCAAGAGCAATCAATGTTTAACTTTATTAAATGTTACAAAGAGTTTTAAATATTAAATATACCTAAAGAAATATATACAGATATACCTATATATTGCAGATTATATTCTATACATATAATTTGTAGGTGAAGCTAAGATGAATAAAATACTAGACGTACTCGTAGTTTGCCATTGTGTTTGCCAAAAAAATCGGAGATGAATATAAAAAGAAGTTGTGTCAGCCAATACAGAAATTTAAGGAAAATTATTTACCAACGAGTTCTGAAGAACCTCATTCAAATTCATCTGTAAATCTATTGTATCCGCGAATTAAATAATCCAGCAATAATTAAAATGTGCAATCCAGAAAAAACTAACAAAGGCCAATAAAAAGCATTTCCCGGGCTGGCACTCTTCATCAATTTTTTTTAATAGTATTCATTTGAAAATCGTTATTTTTGTGTCTTAGCAATAATAATATAAATACAAACAAAATGTGTGTGTCGCTCTGTCTCTGTCTTTATTGTGTTTGAGATAACTCGTATCTTATAATGAATATTATTACTAAAGCAAAAGAATAAAGAAAAGTAAGAAAGCAAAAGCGCAGGAAAGCGCAGAATGGAATCCACATAAGAAATTAAAATTACTAATTAAAACGATTACTTACAGTAGACCTAAGAATACAAAGATTAAATAAAGAAAACGATTTCCTTAAATTTAAATTTAACATGCGATTTAATTTAACATTTTTGTATCATTTTTAAAAAGCTTCACAGATTTAACAGAAGCTTTTAAAGGAGAAGTGTGCTTTTAGGGCGCGTAAAAGCTCTTTGGAAGCTCTATGCGAGTGTTGAACTAAAAAGCTATTTGAGGATTCGAGAATGAGCTTTTAAAGCTCACTTGAACTTAACCTAACTTGTGTTAAACTTTTGTTTTGAATATTAATTTATTGTCGTTAGTTTATGTTTATTGCTGATGCTGCTATTGAAATGAAGAGGGATAGATAGATGTATTATAATTTATTTTATATTATTTTGTAATTATGATTTTGTCTCTCTTTGGTAGAGTTGGTAAAATGATCGATATCAATACTATCGAAGGTTTTTAAATTGGGGAAACATCGATGGTATCGTTCAGCAGAATAGTTAATTCTTTCGTACGATTTTTGGTATTTTTGTGCAAAAACAAACAAGCGGTAGTATCGATAGTAGTGGCAACTTCGACAAAACTATCGCCGGAGCCGGCTATCGATGTTTTACCAGCTCTAACTCCCAGCGTTCTGCTGTGCATTGCGACTTTGTCCGCCTCAAAGTACATGCCGTCTCCGCCTTGCAACTTGTGCTTCCCTTAAATGGAAAATATTATTTTAAGTAGTTGTCCCCAAGGAGAAAAAGGCCTCTTTGAGGTCAATTTTCCTATTTTAATATACCTTACAAGTGTCTCGGATTGGTTTGGGACACTTCCTCCGGAGAATTGCCAGAAGTCTTTGGGTCCGGTTCTGTCACTTTGAACCAGTTTAACTTGGCCACGACAGTTTGGGCCAAATATTTTCACTCTGTTTAAGTTTAAAAATTTAAATTTGTGGTGCAGCTGCGCTGTGACTGGCACTTCTCAGACTCCAATTTAACCAGGACCTGTTGATAGGAGAAGAAATCTTTACACAAGAGCTTTATTACTCTATTTCAGTTTGAGCAGGCCACGGAATATTTATTTGGAAATACCTTCGCCCTTAAATGCTTTTAGAGGCTGGATGGAAGAAATATTGTGTAGAAAGATAGCGGGCATTTTTTCCCGGCCTTTGTCCTGGTTCCGCTGGCTGGCTATATAATATTCCCTCATTGGCCTCATTTTGATCTGATATCGGGCCTTGGAGGAGCGATCAGCCAGTTATCGGTTACATTTGCGTGAAGCATTTCTTCGATTCGCGTGCTCCTTCGTTTCTGACTAAAAAAGCAGAGCATTACTTTATACTAATTAATCACTCAATTTAACAATGTAATTAATAAAAAGTCTGCTAGCTGCTATGGGTTTAAGAATGCTTTCCAAATAGCTTCGAAAAAATGGGCTTTTGAGGATCATCACAGGGCTAACGGAAAAAAGCATACTATAACAAACTATAGTAAACTAACCATTTAAAAATAAATATAGCGTTTTTCACTTCAAACGTTTGAAAAATATGGGTTACTTTTGCGTGAAGCATTTCTTGGATTCGCGCGCTCCTTCTTTTCTGACTAAAAAAGCAGGGCATTACTTTATACTAATAAATCACGCAATTTGACAATGTAATTTATCAAAAGTCTGCTAGCTTCTATTGTCTAGAATGCTTTCCAAATAGTTTCGAAAAAATGGGCTTTTGAGGAGCATCACAGGGCTAACGGAAAAAAGCATACTATAACAAACTATAGTAAACTAACCATCTAAAAATAAATATAGCGTTTTTCACTTCAAACGTTTGAAAAATATGGGTTACTTTTGCGTGAAGCATTTCTTCGATTCGCGCGCTCCTTCGTTTCTGACTAAAAAAGCAGGGCATTACTTTATACTAATAAATCACGCAATTTAACAATGTAATTTATCAAAAGTCTGCTAGCTGCTATATGTTTATCAAGGATGCTTTCTGGATAGTTTCGAAAAAATTGGCTTTTGAGGAGCATCACAGGGCTATCGGAAAAAAGCATACTATAACAAACTATAGTAAACTAACCATCTAAAAATAAATATAGCGTTTTTCACTTCAAACGTTTGAAAAATATGGGTTACTTTTGCGTGAAGCATTTCTTGGATTCGCGCGCTCCTTCTTTTCTGACTAAAAAAGCAGGGCATTACTTTATACTAATAAATCACGCAATTTGACAATGTAATTTATCAAAAGTCTGCTAGCTTCTATTGTCTAGAATGCTTTCCAAATAGTTTCGAAAAAATGGGCTTTTGAGGAGCATCACAGGGCTAACGGAAAAAAGCATACTATAACAAACTATAGTAAACTAACCATCTAAAAATAAATATAGCGTTTTTCACTTCAAACGTTTGAAAAATATGGGTTACTTTTGCGTGAAGCATTTCTTCGATTCGCGCGCTCCTTCGTTTCTGACTAAAAAAGCAGGGCATTACTTTATACTAATAAATCACGCAATTTAACAATGTAATTTATCAAAAGTCTGCTAGCTGCTATATGTTTATCAAGGATGCTTTCTGGATAGTTTCGAAAAAATTGGCTTTTGAGGAGCATCACAGGGCTATCGGAAAAAAGCATACTATAACAAACTATAGTAAACTAACCATCTAAAAATAAATATAGCGTTTTTCACTTCAAACGTTTGAAAAATATGGGTTACTTTTGCGTGAAGCATTTCTTGGATTCGCGCGCTCCTTCTTTTCTGACTAAAAAAGCAGGGCATTACTTTATACTAATAAATCACGCAATTTAACAATGTAATTTATCAAAAGTCTGCTAGATGCTATGGGTTTAGGATGCTTTCCGGATAGCTTCGAAAAAATGGGCTTTTGAGGAGCATCACAGGGCTAACGGAAAAAAGCATACTATTAAACTATAGTAAACTAACCATCTAAAAATAAATATAGCGTTTTTCACTTCAAACGTTTGAAAAATATGGGAAAAAAAATGATTTTTAAAATTTATAATATATTTATAACATTGTCCATCATATCTCAAATTGGTTCTGTTTCGCAAAAGGATTTCACAATGCTAGCGATGGAAGTCGCGCCAATTTATGTGTGAACTTTTGAGAAACATTTTTCGATATAAATAAATATTGACACTATCGATGCCACTACTGACCTTCATTTTTAATATTTCAACCGTCAAACTCAATAAAAACCAATTCCAAAACTGAGTACAAAAATAAATAAATATTTCTTTATAGTTATTATATATCTTTTTTTATTTATTAATAGTTTTTTTTCATGTTTTGAAATAGTTTCTAAAAGTTGATGTGGCACCTTGCATGCCCAAAAAATAGATCATCAGTTACAAGTATGTGCTGTGTTAACTTGTCAAAGCTTTCCAATTATTATCATGCACATGGTCCCTCCTAATAATCTACCTTATATCACATCCGTTGTATCCACTAACATTTCCGGAACAATAGTTAAACCAATTTAGAGATGAATAACATGATAAAGCTATGGAAAACCGATTAAAGGGAAGCAAATTTTGTGTATACTAAAGGTTCTTTTAATTTAATTAAGTTTGTAACGAATATTAAAAAGTTATATGAGAATTTTGTCTGATTATATAATACTAATCTTTGCTTTGTTTTTCTTTGTTCTTTGTTTTCAAAATATTTGTTTAAACTTACATGTTGGAAATAACTAAGAACTGTGCATGAAAAACGTATGATACATTTATTTTTGAGTATTATTAAGTGTGCATATAATTTGTGAAAGCCGTGAAATTTTCAGTCATTTATTAAGCAGACAAATCGAGCTAAATTGCGATCAAGTGTCCGACCTTGGCGCGCCGCCACTCGAGAACATGCTGAACGGCCGGTTCAACTTTGGATGGTTAATACATTTATTTTGATTATTTTCGGGCGGGTCACGCTTTCGCCGATGACCCTGGTCTTAAAACGCGCGAGAATCTCTCTGGATAAAATAAATGAGAACTGCACGCTTTGGGTTATGCATGATAATATGTTTGCTTTTCTTGGCCATAATATATCTTTCGGGAAATGTTTGCAATTCGAAATGGGGATAGGGATTGTCGGGGAGGGGCTCTACCTTTTATTTCATTGAGACACTGGCGATAACGAAATTTCTGTATAACCCGTAACGTTCGGTGATGTCTCTGAACGCGATCTGGCCGGGACTGGAAATGCATTTGAATCGGTATGTATAGGTATGTTTAGGGTATATTTTTTCTACTGGCCACCTGATAGGCGAAACAGCTTTCCACCGTTAAGAGCCACAAATTGTCCGATTTGCTTTCCCAGAATGCGGAACGCCAGAAGGCAGGGAAAAGTTTTTAAGAGCCGAAACAGCTGTTCATTTGGTGACTGACTTGCCGGCAATTACTGCTATTTTTCGCGGAACGAGGCGGGTGCAACAAGGGTTCCTCAAAATAGTTTGGATACACTCAAAAAGTGAATAACAATTCCCAACAAAAATGGATTTACTGTAAAGAAACTACTCTTATAGATGATTATATTTGCGATTTATCATTGAGGTAATAATTTAAGCATTGGATACATTTTATAATATAATAAATATGAGTTATATTTGTCTACACATTTTTCCACAAATTTTACCTATATTATCTGAACAGTCAATTTTTTTATTTAGTATTAACTACCACACATCATTTTCGTTTAAAATTTAGTAACTAATTTAGAGAATGGAATACCCAGCTACCGTGGCCACCGACTCCTTCGTTTTTATTAGATTTCTCCTTAATCCCCATTTCGATCAACAGATTACTTTATAAAAGAGGACTACGAACTTCCCAGAGGACACAGTCAACCTGTTGCAGTTGCAACTCGAGCCGCGTTCGCCGCAACGTCATACATGTTGCACGTTTACTCAATATTCATATTCCCGATGTGCCGCAGATTTCGCCTTTAGAAAGAAAAATAAACAGAAGTCCCCTCCTGAGAAGGTATAATTTATCAACAGACAGCCGACAAATAAACACACATGTCTATGTATACACCCGAAAAAAATCGTCATCAAAACGCCCCTATTTACACCTAAATGAAATATTAAAAAATATCATATAGAATGGAAAACAACGCACGTCATTAAAATGACATAAACTTTGAAGGACAACAACTACAGGCTTATATCTATATTTTTATTATTTTTTATAAAACTTGTTCACTGTTCGTTTTTTGATGAAGAACCCCGTACCACCGAAGAACCAATCGAGACGCAATACAATCACAATTGATATCGATTACGATTAATATCGTATCTCGAGCTTAAGCAAAAAATCCGATAAATTTTTGAAGAGTTTACGTTGACTTCATTCCTACCATCTCATCGCAATGCACATTGAAAGTTTTTTTTTCAACACTTACTTATGACCAGGGTTCAAAGGACGAGTACTTTCTGTATCGAAGTAACCACGGTTGGTATCAAAAAAACACTATTTAGATTCGATTCGATTTTTAAGATTTTTCATATAAGTATGTAGTATGCTTTTGACCCTTACTTAGGATCAAATCGAATCCAAAAATTTGATCCTAAGTGTAGTTTCATTTTCACCCACACCTATTAAATTGACACTCGACAATTTTTTTTTTGTGTACATATGTACGGTGTATGTACCCACCGACTCAGCAGCTTAAGTAGCTGCTCTAAATAATAAATTCAATTGTAATCAGAATCGTTTATGTAAATATTCAAATCGTCAATTTGCCCGGGGTGCCCGGGGAATTGTCCACCAATAATCCGCAAGGCGGGGGGAGGTGGGTGCGATGTGAAGATGGCGGGCAGATGCAGATAAGCACCCCATTAAGCCAACAATGAACTCAACAAGTTGTTCTGGAAAACTGTCAATTAGAACCACGCACTGTGGCAGCAACAATTTTCATTTTCCGAATAAAAACACAACATGCAACATGTTGCACTAGGGGTGGTTCACAGGTGTAGATGTAGAGGGGGCGGGAAACCGCTTTTGTTGAAATATTTTTGGGATTCAAGGTAAACCAAAATAAATGTATTAAGAAAAATGTTTCAGTGTAGCGAATTAGTTTAACCCTTATATAGTCAACCAATGTGTACAACAATTACGTTACTCTCCAATAACTGTCAACACTTATTTGCATAGGAACCGAAAAAACACAAGTATTCTCTCTTTCTAATCAGACTAGTTGTAATCTCTTAAAATATGATATACATACGCACATGCATAGCTATTCTATTTTTATCTCACAAAGAGGTAAGGTAAGTGAAACACTGAAACAAAACAGAATCAAAAACAACGGTTCTTGCTTAAGCGTATATATAGTTGAATAAAAGAGAGACCTATTATAAGCATTGCGTTCCGTTTCGTCTCCTCTTTCCTTTTTACCGTAATTTTACGTTAGGGAGAGCCATTAATGAATAATATTTTTCATATATCTGTGTACAAATCGAATATTTTGGGTTTTGTGTGTACAATGTACACTGATAAAAAGGCTGGTCAATTGATCAATTTCGTGGCCAAATCATTTGATTTTTATCGAGTGCAGTTTTTATTCATTTTAAACACGGTGATAACATTTTTTTTACATTTTTACATTGACTTAAATATTTTAAAATGAAATATGTTTAGTAAAGACTTTTATTTTATTTATTTACTTAAATTAATAATAATAGCTAGTATATAATACTAAAATTAATATTTGAAAAGAAGGGTCGCTAAAGTCTTTTGGTCGATCGAATAATAATGAAGACTTTTTTTGTACACGAGATTCTTTATTTGGTAAGCATATTTTTAATTTTACTACCCCTTTTTTTATTAGTGCATGTTGTAAAACAATAAGATGAATGGAAATTGGTAACGAGAGAGTGTTACCACTGAGCAGCGACCCCCTTGCGAGCGAGTGCGAGAGCGAGCGGCGCTCCTGGTCCGAGTCGCGGTTGCAACGCAACATGTTCGAAGTTCGACGTTCGACGGCCGCACCACGTTCGCAGATCGCTGGCTGCCTCCGGTCAGTCGCTCGCGGAGCGTCGAACGGTCAGCAGCCAGCGCGGCTAATAACATAATAAAACAGGCAACTTAGTTGTTGTTGAGTGACAGTGCGATACTGACTTTGATCCGAACCCGAATCCGAATCCGAAGATCCCACAGATACGTCCAGAGCCGAGCAAAAAAAAAAAACGCTGCAAGCGGAGCTACTATTTAAACAAAAATTCCTGTGAGTGTTTCGAGTTATTTTTTTCAAGTGAGTGCGGTAAATATTTCGAGCTTTACTTATTTTTTTGCTGTGCCTTAGAAAAAACAAATATTTGAAAAATCAAAACCAATCAGTGAAAATCGAAATCGCCAAATATATCGAAATAGAAAATATGGAAAACAATTGGAATCGCTGCAAAAACGCAGGCCAACGCAAAAAACAAAAGGGGCAGACAGAAAGAAAGCGCTTTTATTATTTTTATTTAACGATTTTTCTTGCAATTTTGCCGTGGTTGCTGGTGCATTTGTATTTTGCACACTTTGTTGTTGGGTCAGTTGGCTGCTTTCGCCACTTTACGAGCAACTTCCTTTTTTGGCCAGAGGAAAACCAGTCTGGCCAAGAGACCTCTGGCCGAAAGACACTGCGAATGTAAACAAAACGTATTTGTTTATGACTTGACCAGGATAAAACCCAAAGCCCAGACCCTCAAAACTCAGAACCCATTCCCAGAAACTCAGAGATTCTTAAGTTCCTTTCACCGCCCTTCTTTCCCCCCGGTTAAAAAACAAAAAAAAACAAAAACACCCGGTGAAAGTTTCCCAGTCACAACTTAGAACTCTCTTCATTTTCGGGTTTCTTTACTTTTTTGCTTGATAAATGAGTCGCTGGCATGGCCCCCGGGGCGGTAAATCATCTCTGCTTGTGGCACTGACAATTTCACAAATTTATATATTTGCCACAACACCGAAACACTAACACTCGCAGTCGAAAGTTTTCCACTTGGAGAGCCAAATTTGACTAGCTGGAAAAGTCTGCGCGACTAAAGTGGAAAATTGGCCAGAGTTGTTTTTGCAACGCAAGAAAGAAAACCCATTGAGGATATCGGAAGTCCCACGGTGATATTTCAAGTTCGGATATTCGAAAATGCTTCGAAAGCCCATAAGACACAAGATATTGTGAGCAATTACCACTTCCGAAAACCAAGTATTATTCATTCAAATGGAAAGTCCTCT